ATTTAATCACAGAGCGTCCCGAAGGGCTCTAAAGATGTAAGGTCAGAGTTTGGCATTTCGATGCAGCGGGAGTAACTTTAGCTGTACTCACTGGCTCTCAAAAATGCCAACTGGGGTTCCTTAATTAATGCGGACGGCGTAAAAGCATAAATGTCAATCGTTCGCGCAAAGTGATGTAAATTAGGTCACCGTTATTATCTATTTATTATATCATTTTAACATCTTAGCAATTCTTATAAAATTATTAACTATATAAAATTTTTACCGTAAGATATATAATTATTGACAAATAAAAAGTTGATCTTTTCATAATTAAAAGTGAAAGGTATGCGATTGATATATTGATAAGCCTTAATAATATATTAATGAGAAAAATTAAATCGGGAAAAATATCGTATAAAAAAAAACATTATATATAATAAAAATATTCAATAAATGAAAAATATTTCTCTCAAAGTTTCTCTTGAAATTTATATATAATTCATAATTTTAAAAAATGTTTTTCAGAAGAGTTTTTGCGATTGTATTTCATGCCGTTTACGATTCTTTCGGAAAAGAGGATCGCGAAAAAAAAGGAACGCGAAAGAAAAAGATTGTCACGTTCTGGAGAAGGGAAAAGAAGTAACGCGTACCTCTTCCGGAACCTATAATGACTCTCCAGACGGTCGAAGCGCAATTAAAAGTTGCGGTCGAAACTAACTAAACCAGCCGTAGTTTGATTTAAACGTTTCCGACCCCCGTTACGCTCCTACGTGACGTTGCTTAATTGCATTTAAATGGATGGTGGATGAGATTCCGTGAGATTCCATCTCTGTTGCTTTCGAAACCCGGAAAGCCCGGCCGAAGGGAGTTCATCGACGCGATTCGGACTTTCAGTAATCACGATCGGGCAAAAGATCTTAATTGATCGACGGTGATTTACTCTTGCCTGCAAAGCGAGACTCCAGTTAAAATTACAGTAGAGAAAAGTATCGTTGCACTATAATGAATACGGAGATATAGGATATTGATGTCTATGTGTATCAATCATAGACTTGAAAAATATTCTTTCAATGCCAGTTGTTTAAATTAAAACAGTTTCGTTATACAGTTAAATTCAGCCGTATAGAAATATAATATTTCTTATTAATTTCAAAACTAATTTTAATTTAGTAGAATTTGAGATTGATATTTATCAATAAATTTGGATTTATTTCGATAGAAATTTAAATCTTTTAATTGTTGAAAAGAGAGAAAGAGAGACAAAAATAATACGAATATGATGATTTTCTATAAATTTTTCAACGTACAGATATTAATCGCGAGTTTGCCATGAAATTTATAATAAATGAAATATCTCATATATAAAATTTCAAAACGAAGTTTGCGAGCATATTTGCTTTGAGACCCGGTATTTTTATAATTAACGATAGCCTGATTATCTTATTGAAAGAAGAAGAAATAGCTTTGCTACTTCTGGACATATATATACACACAGCAATGAAAGATTCACAGATGTTGCGAAAATGAAAATACCGTTCTCTTCTCGTCTCTTTCTCTCTCTCTCTCTCCCTCTCTTGGTCTAGCCAGCGAAGCGAGAAATAACTGCAAATAACGTTCGGGGATTACTCAGTTACCGCGATACACTTGTACTCCGGTACTCTCTGGGTTCTCTTCTATCGTGGACCGTGTTGCAGTAACTGGGTTTCCACTTCCTATCTGATGTACAGTCGCTTACGCCTTTGTGACGAATATCTCTCGTGTATGTACATGCTCGTCAGCCATGGCAAAGGGAGAAAGAGAGAGAGCGAGAGAGAGAAAGGGAGAGAGATAGAGAGAGGAAGAGAGAGATTCCGGACAAAATACATGTTCGTCCCACTCGACACGTTCACTGACAAGGGGGAATTGAAAAGCTGTCTGGCAATCCGGACGGCTTATCCTGGCCCATCCCCATCGTCTCTCCCGCTCCTTTCCTCTCTCCCTTTCTCTCTTCCACAGTCTATGTTCTACCCCCATCTGCAACCATTCGCTCCGGGAGAACGACCCTTTTGCTGGTCCCGTCTCGGTCTCTCTCTCTTGAGCGTGCACGACGACCGATTAACGTCTTCGAGTGCCGGTAAACTATACTAGGGTTGCTTCGCTAGTTATATTTTTTTAGAAGGATGAAAGATACGTTAGTCGGTTATATCCCGCTCGAGAGCAGTCCCCGGTATTAACCCTGTAATTCTAACTGTACCGAGCGAAAAATGCGGGGGAATTTTTAATTGAGAAGCTTGTGCGAAAAGGGAACAAATTCTGAAAAAGAGAAAAATAAATTGGAAAAAAATTGCTCTCTACTTTGTTCGAGACCTTTTAACATTCGGATTTACATTATTTTTGTAAATAAATTTTTAATTAAAATAACGTCGCGCGCGTCTCGAAAGGAACCTCGAGCGAAGTTCTTTATCACTGGATTCGAAGGACAGAGTGATAATATAACGATCATTATAGCGGGAGTAATGCTTTCGAATTATGACTTAAAAAAAAACTTAAATTAATTTTCCCTTCGAAAAAAAATTTGTCCGCGATTCTTCATGATATTTCCTCATCATTTTCCTTTCGATACATGTAGTATCACGCGCGGAATCATTACATGCATATTTTACACAGTCGGAACGAAGCACAGCGACGCGGCAATTAACATCGAGGTCGTCGGTGAAATTTTCGACGGTGCTCCGGTTAATTATTCCGCGGCAATTTAGCTGGCGGTAACGAGCCGGCGCGGCGGCGGCGGCAATTGGGTGCCAGGCGGAATTATTGTAACGACGTGTCCCGCCCCGGCCATTTACATCGTAACAGCAACGTAATACTACTCGACTCCGTCCCTAGAATTTGCTCTGCGGTCTGACTGCTCGTGCGCCGGTGTGGCGATATGGTGGCCCCCTGCGTAGCCCCCTTCCTCCCTCCCTCCCTCCCTCACTCTTCATCTCCCCCGTCTCCGTCATCATCAATCGCGATAATTATTGTGTCGGTAAATACTCGGTGAACTAAAACGGCCGGCGATCAGCGAACGCACTTATGACAACGCGCGACACGATTAAATGAACGATATCGTGTGTACATACGCGTCATGGTTTCCAACCAAACCAAACGCGAACAACGTTTTCGATGCGGTAACGATGATGTTAACGGCGACAACGACGACGACGATGGCCAACATCAAAGAGAGGATCGTCAAGCACGCCATTGCAATTGCATCGATTCTGCGCTCGTCATAAAGGCTTATAGGTACATATCCCACAATTCCGGATGATGTACATCGATTTGACATACGAATATGTTGTAATAGCGGATTTTAACCTGATGTCAAAATTTTTGATGTATATGGTAGAGAAAAATTGGCTGGAAAGGCATCGTTTGTCACGACTTTCCAAAATACCCGATATAACAACTGTTTTAATAAAATCTCACATAAAATTTGTTTTAAGTTAGGAGCTAATATATAATAAAGTTCTGATAAATTAATTATTAAATGTGCACTTCGCAGATTTAATACATATATATAAAATAATGAAAAAAAAAAAAATTATTTTTATACATAAAAGCATTCTCTCTCTATTCAATTCGTTTAAATGATAGTTAAGGAAAGATTATTTAAAACGAAAAGAAACGCCGGGAATCAGACGGCTTCTGGCTAGCCTAAATACATTATTTCATGTGTGCGGCAAACGATTTCTCTCGAGGGGAGGACTCGATTAAACGAGTGAGCGTCGGGTACGACGTTAATTCGATTAACTTTGCGGCGGCACCTTGTTTGCCATTGAGTGTCATGTTGCGGGGAAATATTTCGCTGGCCGTTTACAGGGGAGACATCGCATGGTCACGCATCGGGATGGGAGCGGTGTGAGGGAGGAAGTGCGGAACTACTTTCCTTACAACGCAAACATACTCCGTTATTAAACCGCGTAGACATGTACCTTTATTCACTCACCGTCGAGTGAATAAGAGTTACGCCGTAATAAATTGCTTCTCTGGACGGAAGAGTCGATGTTTTCGCTACGGAGACTGCTGAAGAAATTCTCAAAAAAAAAAAAAGAAAAAAATAATTTACGTATGTCACTTATACAAGTTGCATATGTAAACAAATTTTAAATAATTTTCATTAATGTATATTAAATTTTTGAGTGTCAAATGAATTTAACACTTTCTAAGGTTAACGTACATATGTTACCTCAGATTTCTGTACCAGAAAGAGATCTCTCATTTTTTCTTCTCTGGTAAAATTTTCCCGATTTTGGTTCTTATCTCAGTTTCAAAATATTTCCTAGAATCTAATTATATTGTAGTACAGACGTGCTTTTAAGGATAAAGCTAGTAAATTTAGTAATCAATTTAAATTCATCATGACAAAACCATAGTAAAAAATCAAAAAGTATATTCGAAAATTTCAAATGTAACCCTCTCTCTTTTTTTTATAAAAATTATGATTTTAACTTCAAAATTTAAACTAGAATCTGATTAATACGCGTCTCCCTCAATGCAATCAATTTAAAGTGGATTATTGTTGATCGGACTTTGAACAGCCTCGAGATACTCTACGACGCGGGCTCAAGGAGTGATAGTATTACGTTGCACGGCCACGTGCCGGTCTGTCAAAACGCACGTGCGATCACTTGCAGAGCGGCGCGGCCGTATTATCGTCGGGCGATTACGAACACTCGACGATAAGCGGAAGAATTGTCGCCGCTGGAAATATGTCGTGCATCTCGCCTCGTATGTGCGTGCGGCGAATCCTTCCCGTTGTTCACGAAGACACGGCAAACACAATCACGCTAGCGTGACCGCGCTATGCGCGCTACGATCGACTGCTGCACGCGATGTTCGTGCACACAAGCCTCGAGATGCAATCGCAGCGAATGTGATAAAATTCAAAGATTCGCAGACTTTTTTTCCCCGATTTTTTAAATTATTCTATTTACTTTATTGTTTTATTTACTCTCGTACGATCGCGCAGATAGACTTTCGAAAACGATAAGACTTACCGTTTCTCGGGGAGGACTCCAGCACTGCGGCGACGTACTCCGTCCGCTGTGGCTACTCATGGCGGAATTCGAGGCCGAGTGAAGATTCTGAAGACTCGCGTTGAGCGGGGTCACCGGGTCGTCCTCCGTCGTCTCGATGTCGACCTCATCGTCGGAGTTATCCTCCTTCTGGCTGACGTCTGTTGGTCGCTCCGGGATGACCGCCGGCTCGACAATGGGTGGTCCCCGAATCACCGGACGGAATGCAGACTGATGTAAAGTTGGATTGACGGTTGGAATCAAAGGTTCCGTGGGGCTGGAACCGCTTATGGGCGGCGGTAGCGGTCCTGCAAACCATGATCGTGTGTTACCTAATTGAGATCGAGACGATTATTAGCCGTTGATTACGCAAGAGAATAGAATAAATAGTCGTCGATGGAAATAATGACTAGTTCTTAATGATTATAGTTTTACGATACGGAGTGCTGTGTGCAAATGGAAAGGGTGATTAACGATTTTACGTCTGATGAACATAAATTGATCATTAATATACTAATGATTGAAGTAATGATTCTTAAAAGTATTTTAATCGGTCAATATAATTAATAGTCAGCAAGATATAAAGATTAAAATTCAGCAAGAATATAATCCACGTGACAAAATCGCAATTTTTTAAAAAGATGTTTATCTCTCTTATTTCTCTCTTATCACCCTTATTTCTGGCATTAAATTCGATAAATTCTTTAAAATAGATATTTCCGCGGTCGTCTTCAATTATTTAAAATTACTTTTCAATTATATTTTCCATTTCACTTTTTACAAAACACGGCTTACCGGGAAACAGGATAGGACTCCGCTTGGTCAACCAGGGCAGTGCGTAGGGCGGGAAGGCGAACGGGCCCGGTGTCTTAGCCGCGGCGACCGCAGCCGCCTGCTGATGCTGATGCCACACATAATCCATGACGAGATTACGGGACAGCGGTAGGGGTAGTTCCGGGAATGGTGGTACGCGGGGATGCGCCGGTGTCGGCACCAGGGTGGAAATCTGGACGGCTGAGTTCGGCGATGATCTGGGCTGCTTGGCCGGGCTCGGCGATTCCCGAGGGCTATTCGCGTTGCCCAGCAAACGTTTCCTGGTACCACCGTTGAACATCGCTTTGACGTCCTCCCAGGCGTGGACCACCTCGTCTGGCGGGCTGCCGGACAGCTTCATGTGACGGCGCCAGGAGTTAAAGTTGGCCGCGTCCGGTTGTACATACTTGTCGGACGGGCCGATACGGTGCGAGTGGAAGATGAATTTATTCGGCGAGAAGAACAGGCCGCAATACGTGCACTTGATGCACTTGGCGCGTGAGCTGTTGTAACGGGCGGGCAGAAATGCGCCGCGGCAGCCCCAGGCGCACTCGTGGTGAACGGAGAACGCGAAGTCCTCGGGTAATCTGTGTAAAATCCCAGCCCCCGTATATAAATTTTTATATAATTATATATTAAGATAAGAATCAAACCGAAATCTCTTTTGATTCAATTCCGACTAACTCCGAAAAGTAGAAAAAGAAAAATGTATTTTATAAAATTTCTCATTTTATCTTTCTTCCAAAGAGAAAGAAAGAGAGGAGAACGCAAGCAGATTTTCAAATCAAAATCAGTTCTGATTTAATTCCGAGCCGCTAGAAGGCAAAAAATGTATTTAAATTAAAATTCCAATAACAAAAATAAAAATTGTGAATCGTCCCCTACTAACCTGGGGGGTGCGTTGTCGCCGAGGAAGGACTTGCAGAGTCGTTCCGCCTCTCTACGAGTGATCATGCCGCATCTACGCGAGGATACCGGCATCGCGCCGGCACGACGAAGTATCTCCAGTTGCACCGGCGTGCACTGCACGCAGGTGATACCCAATGCCACTCGGCGATTATGGATCTCGTTGTAGCTGAACTGCTTTAGCAGAGTATTGCTGATCTGTGCGAGGCACAGCCTCTCCTGGCCCTCGATCACCAGCGACACGATGTGTATCCCATAAAGCGACACGGTACCCACCTGCAACTCCTATCGGTTTAGTTTTACCACGATGCCCCTCAGAATCGCTACGCTGATTTGATCTTTTATTTATTTATTTATAGTAGTTTCAATGAAAGATTTTCGGGATTCACGAAATTATTCTAGTAGTTACAGTCGATTTAACGCTAATCGAGATCGTATAATAGTACATTTTTATCTGTCTCACGAGGGCATAAAAATTTAAGACACTTATATAGCAAAAACTCTCTCTAAATTAAGATATATGTATATAATATATATTAATTTACATAATTTAATTTACTTAAACTAGAATTTTTCAAAAATTGTATATTTATTTACTCTACGTAAATATCTTTTTGCCTCAAGTTTATATCATTTTAAAAATTTCAATCCATTAAAATTCCGAGGCTTTGTGTTATCTGATGTCTGCGTTTACCTGATTCTGTTTTGGATGGGATTGCGGTTGCGGTGACTGTGCCGATTTTTGCGAAGATGTCAGCGGCGGCATCGACAGCACTGCCGGCCCATCCATTCTGAAAAAAGATTATTGCCGAAATAATGAGGGAATATACGAATAGAGTTATCCACAATCTTGTTTATAACCGTTTTAATATTAGTATCTAATTTAAATCAGATCAAGGTATATAAATTGACATTGAAAGAAATTTATATATTAAAAAACGTAGTACACACCTATCTATTTATTAACTATGTTTATAAAAGTGTGTATTTAAATATTATATGCAAAATATCTAACAATTACTTTAATTATCAAGATATATTTGTAACGTTAAATTTTCAAAAATTCTGAAAATATAATATTTAATTAAATATTGATGAAGTGAAAACCCCGTCTTACAATACAGTTATTATGTCGCTCTGATAAATGTATATTTTGTTTAAAAATTACATATTCTGCCTTCACTTTCTCATGCATTTAAAAATCATTGCTGCCATTGTCGTTTTTATCATTGTTCCCGAAATTGATTGTTTTAACAATGTTTCGAAAATTGTTCGTAATTTTGCGCTGTCTATATCGCATTATTCGGATCCCGAGCCTATTCGGCCTAATGGAAAATGCATCATCGATGCGACGCGGCAATAATTCGCCTCTCGACGTAGTTTTTATCATCATCGACGAGATTGATTATAATCTCTGATGTTTTACGGTCGCGCTAATAAATTCCGCGTTTTCCACTCGCACAGGATAAAAAACATCCTCCTCCCCTCCCGTATCTCTTCTACCCTCTCGTTGTAATTATATTTATTACACTTTATCGATCAGCGTTCTCTTTCGCTCTTTCGCTCTCTCCCTCTCTCTCTC